ATTCCTACTGCCCCTGGCCTGCCTCAGGCTCCACCATGCTGAAGCTGATCTTCACTTGGTCAAGTCACTTCCCCCTTCTGGGTCTGAGCTTACTCCCCTATAAAATAAACTCATTGGTCTGCCAGGTTTTTGTCCAATTCATCATGTGATGTCCTGTTGTTACCAAGAGGGCCCGGCCACCTGTCACTGTGTTCCCATATGCAGAGACGGGGATCAGTCTGGCAAACTTTGTCAGAAGGCCGGGATTCTGGAGAACAGTGAAGTAGCCTCTCCGAGACTGTTGTGTGCTTCCATTTCCAACATTACTGTTTCATACATGAAAGTTCAAAGCAAAGACCACACCAACCCCTATTCCAAATAATAATCAGCATAACTCCGTGACCTATTACAACATTCCAGTTCAAAAGGTAATCTCCTGAATCAATCCACCTAACCTACTCAAGATAGGCATCTTTAGGGTGGGAGCTAAATTTACAAAACAGTAAGAATGGGAGACAGGGGGTGAAGGTCAGGCGGGACCTGAACCGAGCAGACCAGCTGTGTCAAATGGGGGACAGGGGGTGAAGGTCAGGCGGGTCCTACACAGAGCAGACCAGCTGTGTCAAATGGGGGACAGGGGGTGAAGGTCAGGCGGGACCTACACAGAGCAGACCAGCTGTGTCAAATGGGGGACAGGGTTGATGGTCAGATGAGACCTAAACTGAGCAGACCAGCTGTGTCAAATGGGGGACAGGGGTGAAGGTCAGGTGGGACCTGAACTGAACAGACCAGCTGTATCGTGTCTGCCCTCGCCTGACAGACTCCACCTTATTCTCACTCCATGTGCTTTCACTGGACTGTGATCACTTTAAAAATCTGAGCAAGATAAGAGCAGAGCTGACCAAGCACGTCCTCCTGACCCACACAAGCCAGGAAAATTAGAGCACTTGCACTTCAGAGACCCTTTCTTTGGGTGACCCCGCCCCAAGTGTACCTCCCTTCTTCCCTTGTAAGGATCTGTGGCGCTTCATACTTCTCTCTGGCTAACCCTAAACCCCAGATTTGGAAGCCATCCAGGCCTGCCTCTCTCCAAAGTCCTCTAAGATTAAATAATTCCCAGCCATTTCCCTACTCTTTATATTAAAATTTCCAAAATCACAAAGAACGTAATCATAGATAGATAACGTTCTGATTTTTTAAAAGAACCTAGAAATAATATCAGGGAGAAAAGGATGATAGAAGCCATCTTAGTCATTTTAAAATGCCTTTAGCAGGAAAAGCTCTTTCAAACAAAAAATATTACACAGGCTCCAAATACACAAAATAAATGAGGAGTAGTAGTAGTGTAAAGTTATTATAAAAGTTGGAATGCACGACCTTCACCTGTTATAAGTAGTGGGATAAGGCAGAAACTACTCTGGTGATCCTTGGAATTAGAAATGGGATTTAAAATGACAGCCCTTTGGCTGCGTTTACTAGCCTATTTGACTATATGGTATGACTCTGTATAGATAAGTAGTTGAAGCCATAACTGTTTTTAAACAAAATTTTTAAACAACCTACATTTTCTTCACTTATACAAGATAGAAGAGTAAGTTATATTCGAAGGTACTGGTGCACCCTCAGGAATTTGTGGCCACTGGTGTTTTGCAATTTGATACCTAATATAACTTCTGAGACTACTCGTAGAGCAAAATGCCTCCATGGGTGGCATTAGGTGATTCGTGGCAAGTTCCAGTTAGCATCCTGCAGACCCCATCCACGGGAGCTTATTCTCTAGGCTTTGCTATATTCATGTGTTAAATGCAAGTTAGTTTTATGATGCTTAATTTAGATTTGTTTATTTCTCTTTTTTAAAATTTCAGATTAATGTGAGGGTACAAACAGGTTACAAAGTTGGCATTTGTTACATATAGTCCCTACTGTGGTTGTGTCCCACACCCAAGAGGTGTGCCATCCACCCTTACATTGTGCCTGTGAATGGAGGCACAGCAATCCCCCCCTTCTGTCTTCTTCCCCCTCCTCCAGCTTGAATTAAATTAAGTGGGTATTAGATTGTCTACTGGCTTCGTATTAGTATTGAATACATTGGATACTTGTTTTTCCATTCTTGTGATAGTTTATTAAAAAAGAATGTGTTTTGACTCCATCCAGGTTAATACAAAAGATGTCAAGTCTCCATCTTTTTGTGGCTGACTAGTATTCCATGATGTGTTAGTATACCCCAGTTTATTAATCCATTCCTGGGTTGATGGGTATTTTGGTTGTTTCTGCTTAATTTATATTTAAGTCCAGTTTGAGATTTTAAAAATTGAACCAACATAAAGTATCGTTAGCCATCCTGGAAATGGGTAAGCTGCATGTATGCGTCCTCAGCCTCTGTAGTTTCCCCTCAGAGAGGTCATGGTTGTTATGAATCATCTACATTTTTGATGCTGGTGAAGACAGGAAGATCTTTAATCCTGAAAATCCCCAGACTTCTTTCACTTTCCAGGACTAAATTCCTCTCTAGGGAAGGAGCCGAGCTGGGAAGATTTGTGGGATTAGAGGGATTAGAGCAGTTCTCCCCATAGCAGGAGGCCAGGAGGAGTGTCACCCAGCAGCGGTCCCCAAATCCGGCCCTCCCACACAATCATTTGGTTCACTTGATAAGTGTACAAATTCCTGGGCCCCAAACCTGGAGTCTCTGCTTCAGTAGGTTTGGGGTGGGGTATGAAATCATTATCATCAATTAGGAGGTTCTGATGATTTTGTGTCTGATTTTCTTGAGAAGTCAAGTCAGGGTTGAAAATGTTAGTACCTCCAGCCTAATTAAAACCAGTACTTTGTAAAGAATATACGATTAATATATGCAACTGCTGTCCAGAGGATTAAACAATCTGTTCTAGAGTTAATGAGAATAAAACACTTCAATGTCATGGAGAATTGGAAGCATCTCATAAAAATAAACTGACATGCTCCCAAGACAATGGGAGAAAGGTCACATTTCTTATTCTCCACTTGAAAAACATACAGTTACTAAATCACGATGACCAGCTCATATGCAAACAAACTTTTGGAAGACTTATCAACAGATAGCAACAGCTATTCTAAATATTGATTTAAAAATCATATTTTTACGCCTTATTTAGACCTATATTCATACACTATGCCTCCAAGATTTCTCAGCTTTGGACACTTTCGGCCAAATAATTTGCCATGAGGGTCTGTTCTGTGCATTTGAGGACGTAGATGCCAGCAGTACTTCTCTAGTAATGACAACCACAAGTTTCTCCAGACACTGCCAATTGTTCCCTGGGAGGGGACAAAGTCACTTGCAGTGGAAAAGCATTGCTCGGGAGGAAAAATCATGCAATTTCCTCGGGGCTCTGGATTCCTATGATATAAGATGAGGGAGTGAAGGTGGTATTCATAGCAGTGGAGTTAGAAAAGATTCTAGAATAAGTGATACTGGTAAAATAAAAATAATTCAGATGCAATACCAACCCATACTGAAAAATACACTTCAAATGGCCTAGAATTCCAAATTTTAAAAAAGTTAAAATATTGAAAAATATAAAGACTATATTTTTCTAAACTCGGGGTATAGAAGACCAGCCTAAGAAAAGCAGAAAACCTAGAGGCTGAAAAGGCAAACCTCCAAAGCCTTAATTCCACATTTCACTACTTTTTGATGATGAAATAATAACTAAATAAAGACCCTGCAAGCAAAATTTCAAAAAGAGAAAGGGAGAAAATATTTGTGCGTTGCGGTAAAGACGGAAGGTCAGTATCCCTAACACCCGAGCAGGGGCTGGGTTTTCATCTCGGTCAGGCTACCATCAAGCCGAACAGCGCCGGGGAAGTCATTCGAAGGGTCTTCTCATTTCTGAACAGGAAAGCTGAATGATGTTTTCTTTTTTTCTGACTGTACAACATTTTCCAAGCCTAAAATGTCTGCAGTGTTCTTTTCCAAAATCCTGTTTCGCTAACTGCAGAGTGAACTCAGAGGGTGCTGAGGACGAGGGCCCCATGCTCTGTCTGCCTTTCTAACTAGGTCAAAGGGCTCCTCTAACCTGCATCAGACCAACAATGGTGGACTGTTCTGATAGGTCCAGATAAGGGAAAGGCTCAGGCTTTCCACCTTGCCAGCCAGCCCAGAGAGAACAAGGCTGAGTCATGAGGGCAGATACATCCTCCCGGACTCATCTTTCCAGTTCAGCTGTGGCTCCAGCACCCACCACATTCCAAAAGTCTGCCTCTTGGTGTGGCTGCTGTTAGCTCAGCTCTGGAGACTTGATGGAATGGTAGAGAAATATTTTACTTGAAGTAATACTTCTTTTTTCCTTAACTTCGAACGCATTCTTTAAATAACAAATAAATCTACCTTCCTTGCCTGCTCAGTTACCAGTAAGCTAAGAAACTCCTCACCTTGTCTCACAACCAATTGAACTGGAATGTTTAGTTCATGAGAATAAGTAGGCCACAACTCATTATTTGAGTTATTGAAGACTTTATAATTAGAGGTATCATCTAATCTATCTCTCAGCAATCAACTAGCACTTAAAAACCCAGATCAAAATTCTGTATGTAACTATTTAATTGAATGGGGGAGGATTAGGCTAAACATAAAAGATTCGTCTTCTTCCAAGCAGTGTTCTCTCCTCTTGCTAAAAATAGAAAATATTCTCAAAGTTTTTGATATTTTAAATAGAAGTACTTGTCACTGCATTTCTCTTCAACCAAAAGGCAGAGATCATTGAAGCCCCACAGTGTAACTGTGAAGCTTGACCACATTTTCTGCAGGTGCCAGATCTTGCTGCCTATCAAAGATAAAAACCAGGGATGTAAGGAAAGATGTTCCTTATTTCCTAGTGATGAAGAGCAGCAGGTGTATGTGCTGTATCACGTGCATGAAACTCCAGCTTGCATCCGAGAAAGTTCTGCACACCTACAAGTTGAAGGATTGGTGAGGACAAGTTGTACCAGGGAGGAGCAGGAGGAGCCAGATGGCGTTGGGACATCCCAGGCAGTGTTTCCACCTCCTTTGTGTCCTCCCATTCCTAGCTTGCTTAATTTGCTTCAGAATTTAGAGAAGGAATTGCAGCTGCAAAGTCTGTGAAAAACTTTTTAAGCCTACAGATACTTCTTCTGACATTAGAATTTGTTGTTATTTTGCCAGGAAACACTAAATCCAGATGTTGGACCATGCCAGAAATCTGGTTAAGGGAATGGATCGTTTCACCCAGAACGATGATGTGGCTTCTGATTCTGGTGGCCTATTTGTTCCAAAGCAACGTGAATTCAGGACGTCTGCCGACTAAAGCTGTGGATCCAGAAGCATTCATGAATGTTGTAAGTTGGGATTTTCCATAATGTTTGGGGGGAAATGAAGTAACTTAGATGTTACTATTTGTATCTGGTTATTGTCTGCATTATGTATTATACAGTAGAACCTCGGTAAGTTGACCACCCAAAGGACTGTACCAAACTGGTCAATCTACAGAGGTGGCCAACATAAGGAACTAGGCCTACTGTGCTGATACGGTGGTCCATGAAAATTAGGTCAACTTAAGGAGGTGATCAATGTAGGGAGGTGATCAGCTACAGAGGTTCTAGTACATTTATATAAATAAAAGTGCATATATATAAACGTTAAACGGTAGAAAGAATGCTACACGGGGTGTCAGTAGACCTGGGATCTCCTGGAACAAATTCAGTAAACAAGTGATTTAATCTCTTTGGATTTTAAACACAATTCCAATTGTCCTTGAACTCTTAGGTTCATCCTGTGAGTGAAGAAATAACTGTGGTATTTTGGGCCAACCCCAGACCCCTGATGATCTCCCATTTGTCTGTTCTTTTTATTCTTGTTTTACTTTCTCCCACGTTGTAAAGATGTCAGCCCTCGCTTCTTACTATCAAGGCACCCACTTCTAGGAGCATCGACTATACTATTCCCATCCACTCTTTTTATCCTGTTCTGGACTGGTAACTTCGTTGAATGGCAATGAAAAGACCCTCAGTGCCTGTTGGAAAGGGCATCCTATGAATAAAATTCACCAATAATAATACATCTCTTTAGGTCTACCAGGGGAATGTTGGGGGGAGGGGCATACTTTCATATCCTAAGTTGGATTTTAGTCATGAACACCATCTATGGCATTGTGATAAAAGCTGCGGACATTTTATTTTATTTCAGCTTCACTTCCCTACGTAGTAGATACGATCGTCCACATACTTCAAATCAAGGACCTGACATTAAAGAGATGGGGCAAGTTAAACGAGTCCTCACCACTGGTACCTGGCCAAGCTACAATTTAGATTCAGGTCCGCCTAAACACTAAGCCTATAATTATAACCACTCTGTATGCAATAAACACTCCCGAGTGAGAAGGAAGAGAGTTTCTCTCCAGATGAGTAAGATGACTCTGTACAAAACAACCACATGGTGTAGGTGTAGCTAACGCCTCATGGAAAGACCAACTGGGACATACATTGATAAGATTTAAGACTCTTTTTACAGGTGCTCCCTTCTATGGGTTCTGAAACTCTGAAAGGCCATAGGGATATTCTGAGTCTGCATGGTGCTAAAGATCAGGTTTCTCTGGACCATTACAATGACTGACTGCCTTTTGACGGTTCATCTGGATAGTTAGTGCAATAGTGTAGATCCGCAGGAGCCATCCTGGGAATGTTCCACAAACTTCCTCTGCTTTGGGGGCAAAGGGAACTGAGTTAGCTGCAGACAGAGACAATCTTCCTGGGCCCCGGGAACACCTTTATATTTGGGGTTTCAGAAGCCTAGAAACTGAGTTAGCTGCAGACAGAGACAATCTTCCTAGGCTCCAGGAACACCTTTGGGGTTTCAGAAGCCTAGGAACTGAGTTAGCTGCAGACAGAGACAATCTTCCTGGGCCCCAGGAACACCTTTATATTTGGGGTTTCAGAAGCCTAGAGAATAAAACTCATTTAATTAGGCTGTGCCATGAGCAGCGTATGGGACACGTTCTCCAATGAAGGAAGATCCAGGTAGAACTTCTCAGTGTCCAGCACATTATTTAACTAGTTCCCCAGTATAAGTGTTTATTGTTACAAATAACACTGCGATAAATATTCTTACAGGTATATTTTAATGTATACCTCTGATTTTTTTTCTTAAAATTTCAGGAAAGGACAATGGGATTAAAAGTTAAATATTTAATATGTTTATAACAATACAATTTAAAATTAAAGATTATCAGTTTTTAAACATATATATGTATATATCAGTCAACTGCCCTCAAAAAGAGTTATACAAATTTCCAAGTTCACAAATAATACCTTATCCTTTTGAACACGTTGGGCCTGTATTTTTGTGTCCACAAGTTGATGTCCTGCTATTATCCTGTGTAAACGTTCCTGCTGAGTGTAGTCTGTTGCACAGCTGCCACCTGTATGTCACGTTCATGTGGCTGTAGTTCTTCTCCTTCTGGGATGTCCATGCCCTCATCTCCACCGCTTTTTGGGTACTCCTATTCTACCCTCAGGGCCTGGCTCAAATTCTCCTTCCTCCGTAAGAGCTGGCCGTCCCCAGCTTTGTTCACGGTGCTCCCCTTGCTCAGAGTTCCTTTCACTCCTTCCTTCATTCAGATCCTCATCCCACTTTGGCACATTACCTGCATCTTCTCGGCACACACTTGTCAGACGGCATGTGTTCTCATGTTTCTATACTCACCCTATCTCATCTCCCAAACAGTCGATTACACATTATTCTTGAAGGATAGTCCCCAGATCATCTGCGTCTGCATCACTTGGGAACCTGTTAAAATGTCCTTTTGGAGGGTTCAACCCAGACCTACAATATCAGAGACTGTGAGAGTGGGGTTCAGCAATTTGCATTTTAATAAGCCCTCCAAGTAGTTCTGATGCATGCTAAAATTTGAGAATTACGTGTCATAAAGTTTCAAGGTTAAATATACAATGGTACGATACACACATAGGCATGCACACAGCATTTTATAACATTTGGTTAACTGAGTTTTCATGACAGTGGTAGCCTCATGCTCTAGTACAGGCGTCCTCAAACTACGGCCCACGGGCCACATGCGGCCAGCTGAGGACATTTATCCGGCCCGCTGGGTGTTTTTGCCGCCACTGCCTGTCCTGCTTAGCAGCCAACTTGTCCCGGTGCCCACAGTCTGGCCCTCCAACGGTCTGAGGGACCGTGAACTGGCCCCCTGTTTAAAAAGTTTGAGGACCCCTGCTAGTACCTGCTATGTGCCAGGTGTTATAGTTACTGTTACATGTCCTGTCTTTTTATATTCCTCACAACAAAGCATGGAGTATGAACCATTAATATCCCTAATTTACAGATGAATGAACTAAGGAATAAGGACAGCTTAACGAAATTTCCCAAGATCATAAGCTAGTATGTATATCAGTGTTAGGCCCAGAATAAAAACTCCAACAGTGGAACCCCAGAGCTTGTCTTAATGACTGTACATTTTTACCTTGTATTCTCCTCTGGGTAGTTCACCTGGCTTTCTCCCCTCTTGCTCTTTTTACAGTAGACCCCGATACAGTTTCTTCCTTCTCTGAGTCACAACACTGGGCAAGAATGGTGAGGACACTTAGGATATCTCTACAGCTTTATATTTTCTACAGAGTTTCTGCATGTAACAAGTATACAGAGCAGGGATTCGTTAGCAGATGTCTATACATAGGCAACAAGGAGTCTGGAAGCCCTGAGATTGCATGCAAAAGCATGCTTGTGCATCGATGTGTATGTCCATTCCTACAGGTCCCCTCAAAGGCACTGAGGAAACTTTAACCTAAAAATATTAAGAATTGATGCTCTTGAGCCTGTGGTTTTAGAACTAGAAAGAACCTTCAGGAATCCATGGCCCAGAGAGTTGCTTTAATTGTCCTAAGACAGGTGCTCCAGTGACTGCATTAGAATCCCTTGATATCTGACCCAAAGTGGGCTCAAGACTCTATATACTTAAGTGATTCCGGGTGCACACGTAGGTTTTGGAAGAAGTATTCTGTTGCAATTGTTCTAAAACATTATAGTGTAATCAGAATTCCCTAAAGAGTTTGCTAAAACACAAATTAACGGATCCTGTCTTCAGAGTTTCTGATTCAGTAGATTTGGTGGGAACCTGATAATCTACAATTCTACCAAGTACCTTAGTGATGCTAATGCTTTGGGCCCAGGGTCCACACTTTGAGAACCCTCCTTCTTATTATTGACCAGTCTTCATATTAAAGACAAAGAAAGTGAAAACCAGAAAGGGTTGGCTGATAGTTTTAATTCCCACGATTAGCTACGGAAAAGCAAGGACTTTTTGCCTATGGCTTACAGCATCAAAGATCTCTGAGAATACAGCCATATATAAATCGATGAAAAAGAAACTGTGCTTTTTCCATAGAGTGAAATCATCCGACATCAAGGCTATCCCTGTGAGGAGTATGAAGTCACAACTGAAGATGGGTATATCCTTTCTGTGAACAGAATTCCTGGAGGACCAGGGCAACCTAAGACAGGTGTGTTTAGCCCTGTATCATCCTAACGTGGCAGTCTTACTGCAGCCAGGATTTCCCTGTGATCAAGTGTAGAAGAGAGTCTGGGTTCTTAGTAGACTGGGGCCCGTTGTTCTGCCCAAAGGAAAATGTCAGCTCCTCCATAAACTCCACCACCACTACCACCCTACCCCACTGCACCATATCAATTATCTCAAATAAACACAGTACTTGCTTTTCAATAAAAGCTTTTAGAAAAGTCCATTTCTTGACCCCTTCTAGCACTCAATTTACTCCCCCATGTCCCTTATATAGATATTCTAGAACATTCACTGATTCATGAAGAATTCAAACTTCAGTATGACACCTGGTGCCAACCCCATACACTATATTTTCCTCGTCCAAAGAACATTTTAGACCTTTAAGATGTTGCTTAGCTTTTCATTGAGGGCAATTTTTTTTTCTTTTTTGTAGGCAGAGTTTCAGTTTGTCGCCCTCAGTAGAGTGCCAAGATGTCATAGCTCACAGCAACCTCAAATTCTTGGGCTTAACCCTCAAGCCTCCCAAGTAGCTGGGACTACAGGTGCCTGCCACAACATCTGGCTATTTTTTTTGAGATAGTGTCTCGCTCTTGCTCAGGCTGATCTCAAACCTGTGAGCTTGGGCAATTCTCCCATCTTGACCTCCCAAGTGCTGGGATTACAGGCATGAGCCACAGCACCCTTTTAAGGACCAGGTTCTATGTGTACATTTAAAACTTTTGATACATTTCCATAGTTCATTTAATTCCTTTCCTTTTTTTGTATATGGGATTTTCAGTTATTTCTGAATTTTAAAAAGTTTATCTTCATTACTAAAGTATGCCAAACTCCCATGTCTCTTAGACTAGATTCCTTTGATACTCAGGAATTATACTTATAGCGGCAATCACATTATCTGCCACATGCACAGGAAAATAAGCTCTTGTGTTTTTTGTGAATGCCAGGTACAAGGCTAACTGCATTATTTCTTTCAGTCCCATTCAATTTTCACAATAAATCTAAGAAAGTGCTATTTAAGTAACTTGCCCAGAAAACCCATGCTAATACTTGCTAGTAAGCTGCAAAACCTGTACTCAAATCAAGATCTTTCTGCCACTACAGCCCATGTTCTTAACTAGATCTAGAAATGACTTGGCAAATGCTACTGGGCCTCGGTGTGAAGAAGTTCCAGGGTTCTGTTTTGCTTCAATGTGCACTTGTACAGCTTTTTGTAAAACAGCTTTTTTAAATTTTTTTCCACACTAGCTGCACAGTCTAGCACGCTCCCACCTCTGTGCCTTTGAACTTACCCTTACTCTCCCTCTGGACCACTATTCCCTCAGGTATCTATGCAGCTTGCCCTGGTCCTTCTCTCAGACCTCCTTTATCCGAGAGTCCTTCCCTAGCCACCCTGTTCAAAATAGTAACTCCTTTACCCTGCTTACTTTCCTGCATAGCACTTCAGACCACCTGCTGCGACAGACATTTGCTTGTTTATTGTCGGTCTCTCTACAAACCAAGTGTAAACTCAGTGAAAGTAAAGACTACATCTGTTTTGTTCAAAGCCATAACCAGTGGCTAAATGAGTGTGGAGCACATTCTAGATGCTCATAAATATTAGTGGAATGAGTGAATAAATTTTGCATAAATAAAGGAATAGCCTGAGGACACAGAACAAACTTTTTACAAAGCCCCACAAATCCTAGGGTGGTGGGCAAGTCACCGCGCTTCCAAGCAGTCAAGCGCCTGCAGCAATTTCTAAGGGTGAGGTTTCCCCTGCAGTCTGGGTTCATGGACAGAGTTTGTTTTCTCACATCTTGTTCACTCACTGTCGACAAGTTCCAGGTTCAAGGAATCTGCCTTTTTGGTCTGGTCGGTGTGGCATACTCCCCTCTAGTGGCTGATGTTATCCCTGCAGCATCCACTTACCCCTCAAGGACACATTCTCCCAGGATAAAGGGAAAACGGATTTTTCACCATCTCTTCTTCGTAGAGGGTCAATGAAATTCATACTGAAAATAACTCAAAAACCTTTAATGAAAAGCTTACATCTTGTGATAAAGGCCTTTTTATCTTTATCAACTCATCATAGCTGGCTTCAGATAATTACATCAAGAAAGAAATACAGCCAGGAACATCCTCAGAAATGACATCTTTTTAAAGTGTACCCCTTACGCTGGCACCTGCTGGCTGTAATTTATATAGAAGGCCACGGCTGGAAGGGATGTTTGAAATGATATAAACGAGCCAGCCCTCTCATTGGGTGACCACAAGTACAAACCGTGCTGCTAATTAGGGCCAAGCTGACCCCAACAATAGGAAATGTCCTGAGGTCTCCCAAGGGGAGCATTGATCACCTATCTTTCTTTGATCACCCCATGTTAACACAACTGGGGTCACCTTCCTGAGAGCAAAGAGTATGAACCAAATGAGCAGACATCAAGGAAAACTTAAAATAACACTGAGTTCTTTTCTCCTGGCCCTGTACTCAGGGACCTCGGCCAACATGTTCTCTCCCCAGAGGGATACAATGAGGCAGGTGGAATTCATAAAGACCACCCAGACACTGGATGAGTTTGTTGTAGAAAGGAGACTGCACACAGATTCTGTTCCCCTTTGTAGCAACAGTAACAAGAGTTCCCCATCTGATAAGAGGGCAGGCAACGTGCTGAGCACTTAGGGTATCTCAGTATCTCGTTTGACTCCCCAGATCCCTGTAAGGGGGGCAACTGTATCCTCCTTTTGCTAATGAGACACTGAAGCTCAGAGTCACATGCTTTAGTGAAATATAGCAATAACAATGCAGCAGCAATAAAGCTATTTTTTACTTCCTTTAAGCTGGGTACTGCGGTGTGTGCATTTATGATATAATTTAATTGTCACAACTCCTATCAGGAGTTTATTAATCTTTTAGTCATATTTGATAACATGAAAAGTGATGTATATTCCTTAATTTATTTAACACACTAGAATTTTAAAGCCCTCAATCCTTATTTATCTTCTACTGATATTTTTATACATTTTTATTTTGATGTAATTTCAAACTTTCAGAAAAGTTCCGGAAATAGTATAAGGAACCGCCATAAACCCCTTTACCTGACTCACATTGGACCCCATTTATTTTATCATAATATCTCCCTCTCATCCAACTCCTATGTGTTATCTTCCTACTTTTTCCAAAACCCAAAACAGTAGATTTAAGACATCAAGACCTAACTACTTCTGTGGGTGTTTCCAAAGAACAATGATAGTCTCTTCTAAAACGACAGTATATTTATCAAAATTAGGAAATGAACACTGATAGATATTAGTATCTAATCAGTAGCCCATATTCAAATTCATCAATTGCCCCAAAGTCCTGTTCTTCCTCTTCTTGGTCGATAATCCACTCCAGGATTATGCATCCCATTTGTTTGTCGTGCCTGCTTTCTTTATAAACAATTCCTAAACTTCTCTTTGTTTTATTGTTCTTAACATTTTTGAAGAGTTTTGGACAAGAGTGTTAGTTTTGTCTGGTATTTCTTCATGAGATGATTTAGGCTACACACTCAGGGCAGGAGAAACACACGGGTGAAGTTGGGTCCTTCTTGATGCCTCGTATAATGAAATATGATGTTGGCTTATTCCAGTATTGGTGATTTTAACTTGGATGACTTTGATGGGTGATATCTGGCAGGTTTTTCCAAAGTTAGTATTTTCCCTTTATAGTTAATAAATAATTTCAGGATAGACAAATATCTGGTTAGTTTTTAAACTTTCACCCACTGCTTTTAATATTCACTGATAATTTTAATCTCTGTATTTATTAAGTGGCATTATGGTATAAATAAGAGCTTTTCCTTCTCTCCTAATTGTTCATTCATTTGTTGATACCTATATGGACTCGAGGTTTCTTAATTTATTCAGTGGCATATAATTCATTATTGTCATGTTTTATTTTGACCCTTAAATATTCCTGTATTTGAACAGTGGGAGCTCTATCAATCTGGTTTGTACTTTCTTTTGATATGAATTAGGATCTCTTTATTGTTAGACCATTACATATGGTGTAAATATTTTAATTATTCTGCTATCCTGTCTCCTGGGCACTTTTGATATTTTCTGAAGAGCTCAGGGAAGTCCAATACAATGCAAGGGCATATTTCAGAATAACTAAGAGTAAAAAGACATTTTAAATATCTTACCACAAAAAGTAAGTGAGTGAGGTGATGGTTATTTTAATCAGTTTGATTTAAGCATTCCATATTGTATATCAAATCATCACATTGTACCCCATAAATGTATACAGTTATGATTTTAATTAAAAATGAAATACAAAATAGAAAAAATTTTTAAAAATAATAATTACACAAAAACAACAAGATAACTTTATAGGCTCTTTCTCTGTGTCAGGCATTGTGCCATCTGTTCCTTGAGCTCTGTTTCATTTAACTATAACAAAAATTCTATTTTACTGATGGGGAAATCAGGACACAAAAAAGGTAAGTAATTGGCCACAATAATTAAGCTAGCAAGAAGCTGAATATCAAGATTTAAATACAGGATTATCCAACTTGAAAGCCCTCACACATTAGTGAATAGCAATAAAGGTAGAGAACACTTCATACCACTAATATTTTGTTTTTTGCAGGGTCCCGGCCTGTGGTGTTACTGCAGCACGGCCTGGTTGGAGATGCCAGCAACTGGATTTCCAACCTGCCCAACAATAGCCTGGGCTTCATTCTGGCAGATGCCGGTTTTGATGTGTGGATGGGAAACAGCCGGGGAAACACCTGGTCTCGGAAACACAAGACTCTCTCCGTAGAACAAGATGAGTTCTGGGCTTTTAGGTATATGAAAATCTTGTGAATGAAGCAAACGTGGATGTCTTATGGAAAACTGGGGAAAAGCTGTTTTTTAGTATTGGGCTAACTTGTTTTGGGGCAGCCCCAATATCCCAACATGATATCCCCAGTTTTCTTAATTAACTGGTGATTCTTCTGGGAAAGGAGTGGAGAATATTGGATTCCCCAAGCAGGTCAGGTCTGGCTAGTGGGAAGATGGGGTGTTTGGTGTCAGGTGATAGAGATTGGAATGGGAGACAGGCAGTTGATTTCCTTGCAGGTGGACAATTCTACCCCAGAAGGAGACTAGACCAGGAAGCATTAGAAAAAATAAAATAAGAGAAACAATTAAGCTGTAGCTATCATTTTGACTCACACATGGCTCATGCTCTTACAAAAGATTTCGAATGTTCTTATTTAAATTATCTACTGACATTCAACCTGCTCTTTGTCCCCATGGAGGAGAGTTCCTGCAGCCTTTTTAATACTTTTCCTATATCTGCATGGCCCTTTGCTGTTCTGCTAACAGTATAATAGGAGACCTCCACTGGGAGGTGGGTCATGTCCTGGTAAATATTCACTGAAGGTGATTATCGCTCTCTGATAACATCTGGAGAAAACAGGTTTGCTCACACCCTGTGACTCCAGAGACAGCCACACACCACAGGTTTGAAACGAGTTTAGGTGTAACAAGCTTGGGCTGACAGGTCACGGGATGGTTTGTAATCCTCAGGGTGTGCTTTTATTTGTTTCTAATTATAATTTTTCATATAACTTTGTCTTTTCCCCTTGTAGTTATGATGAGATGGCTAGGTTTGACCTTCCTGCAGTGATAAACTTTATTTTGCAGAAAACGGGCCAGGAAAAGATCTATTATGTCGGCTATTCACAGGGCACCACCATGGGTAGGTTCAAAGAAAAGCAGGTTTGTACACTCAGGAGAAATGTGACCAAGCTAGCCTGGAATCAGTCACCTTGCACTGCTCAGATCCAACTGCATTATCTTCAGAACCATCAAGATCCCCAGCAAAGTGTCTAACATATAGTTACCTCCCTAAATATATGTATATAGTATATATATCTCCTCAAGGTCAATATCATTGTATTCGATAATTTACTTCAAGGGAACCTAATTACTTGAAAACAGAATGGATTGTCATAGAGATCAAAGAGAAGTTTTTGCTATCCACCCTCAAACCCTGTAAGTTTATAGAAAAGTTAAGACACAGTCACACAGAATTACCGAAATATCTCAATAAAAGTAAAATACACACTCTGAGTCCTGGGACATTCGCTATCCATGATGACCTGTGTCTTCCCTCCTAGGCTTTATTGCATTTTCTACCATGCCTGAGCTGGCTCAGAAAATCAAAATGTATTTTGCTTTAGCACCGATAGCCACTGTTAAATATGCAAAGAGTCCTGGGGCCAAATTTTTGTTGCTGCCAGATATGATGCTCAAGGTAGGTGCCTTCCCAGAAAATACCTTGTCTACCTAGAAGTCTGCCTGATTTCCTACAATGTAGACTTAGAAACTGGAGCCACTGCTTTTTTGACCATCTTGTAGTATTATTACCGTTTCACTGTGTCTTTTTACAGGGATTGTTCGGCAAAAAAGAATTTCTGTACCAGACGAGATTCCTCAGGCAGTTTGTTATTTACCTTTGTGGCCAGGTGATTCTCGATCAGATTTGTAGTAACGTCATGTTACTTCTGGGTGGATTTAACACCAACAACATGAACATGGTGAGTGGGAACCTTCTGAATTCCCGGAGTCCCAAGGCAAAGCTAAGAGTTATTCATCTCACTCCTTGAGGGACACAGAATGACAGTGAGGACTTAGGGAAAAGAGGTACTCCCAGTATTTCAATTCCTTCCAATTCATAAGCAAATGAGGGAAATACTTCAGCATGGGCTGACACAAGGTTAACTTAAGGGCATTAGGTCTAGGAGGCCAAGGCAGGTGGATTACCTGAACTCAGGAGTTCGAGACCAGCCTGAGCAAGAGCAATAACTCGTATCTACTAAAATAGAAAAATTTAGCCATGCTTTATGGCAGGCACCTCTAGTCCCAGCTACTGGGGAGGCTAAGGCAAGAGGACCACTTAAGCCCAAGAGTTTGAGATTGCTGTGAGCTATGATGACTCCACAGCACTCTACTCAGAGTGACAGAGTGAGACTCTGTCTCCAAAAAAAAATCAGTAAATGAAATAAAAATATGAGGGCATTGCTAGAATAAACCACAGATTCGAGATGGCAGAGGTCTGAAAGCAGCTTCGCTACAGTGACTTGACCCATGAAAGGGAGTGATTCGGACCTGTCCGTCAGCAGAGAGAACTGCCATGCATTGTCCCTTCTTCCCTCCACTAGAGTCCTTTGGGTTTGTAGTTGAAGTTCTCTGATGGAACATCAGAAAGTTCCCATTTAGCTCAGGCTATTAGTTAGTGAGTGTCATTGGCAGTGGGTGGAGGGTGTTCCCCAGGAAGCATGCTCTGAAATGGAGAGTAATGTGCACAATGATTTGGGGACAATACCCAGGAAAAGAAGGATTGGGTAAATGGAAAAGTCAAGGCATGATGCAGATAGAATAGGAGCCTCGGTTGATCCTCAGAGATTTGTGAAGACAAGCTGGTCCTTCGGAGCTCTCCTAAGTCTAGAGGAGAGAGCTGGGCCTTCATACCTCCATATCAGCCTGTCGTTTAATGCAGTGCACACCAGTCACAGGAGAGCACTGGGCAAGGCCTCTCTCTGCAGCTGGGGCAAGCCTCAAAGCAGGCTGACAGCAGAGGGTTGTCTGCCAGCAGCACTCCCAGTGACTGGGGGAATAGATGTCTTTAATCCTGCAGATTTTTTTTCTCATTAGAAGTTAATGGGGGAGGGGAGTGGGACAGCACCTGTGGCTCAAAGGAGTAAGGCACTGGCCCCATATGCCAGAGGTGGCGTGTTCAAACCCATCCCCAGCCAAAAACTGCAAAAAAACAGTTAATAATTTGGGCTTGGCAGCCATATCACAGTGGTTATGGCAACAACCACATACACTGAAGATGGTAGGCTTGAACCCGGCCTGGGCCAGCTAAACAACAAGGACAACTGCAACAAAAATTAGCTGGACATTGTGGTGGGCACCTGTGGTCCCAGCTACCTGGGAGGCTGAGGCAGGAGAATTGCTTCAGCCAAAGAGTTTGAGGTTGCTGTGACACCATGGCACTCTACTGAGGGTGACATGGTGAGACTCCGTCTCACAAAAAAAAAAAAAAAAAGTTAATAATTTAATTTCTAGCTACCATTGATAAGCATGTATTGTGTGCCAGGCTAATATTTTCCCTACACCAAGCCTATGAGATGAGTGTTATCAACGTCCCTACTATATTAAAAGTTAGTATACTAAGATTTAGTAGACAAATAACTCACTCAAGTTCACCTGAAAATTAACGTAGCTAGGATTTGAATACGGGCTCAATTCTACATCCCTCATCCTGAATATCTCTAGTAAAGTGTTCTGAAAGAAGAGGTCATATCTCTAATGAAAGGTTATTCTCATATGAAAGACATAGGTGCCCAGGAATGCAGTTAATGACATTTTATTTATGTGCCTGTGTACATTGTGGTTTCATGGATAATTGCTGATAATTTATTGATGTTCCCATTTCTTAGTCTGATACTCTGGAGATTTGCTCTTGACAAGCTGCCCATCATGTAAATTTTTCTGTGTCTACTCATGCTTTGTTACAGAGCCGAGCAAATGTATACGTTGCCCACAATCCTGCCGGAACATCTGTGCAAAATATTCTACACTGGAGCCAGGTGAGAATGCTGAATTTTTGGCCTTTGCTAAGGCCCTGTGTATATTTTGTGTAGAACAGTCCAAAGATGCCTTTTTGACAACCCCAGGATTATTTCACATTCACACTGAGATGAAACGCAGTCTCATCAAGGCTGATTCCACTGAGAATTTGATCAGGATCATTGGAATTTTGGGGGAGGAGAGGACAGGAATAGTCCAGGGACATCTTTAGTGAAGTAAAACAGCCCAAGTGCTGCCTGTCTCTAGCTGCACGGATGTGGCTGGAGAAGACTTCATTTCCTGCTTTTCTTCAGCTCCTCCTGCAGCAAGGTCAAGTAGCAGCAAAACACTAAGGCGGGACCTAATTGCCCAAGGAGATTTCCACAAGGGTCCTTTGTACTGAAAACTTTACCTGCAAACCCAAGGGGTAGGGACTGCGTGTCTGTGTGCACATATTGAGATAGAGACAGACAGACAGACAGAGATTGTATTATCAAAACCAAAGAAGAATTCTGAGTTGGGTTAAATTTTGGCCACTATCTCCCAGGATCTCCACCTTGCACAATTCCAGGGCACGCTTTCCTATGTGGCCCACAGAGTAGTGCGGGGTGCTCTTCCTACATTAATTACAGCAGGGATGCCCTTCCCGGAGTTGACAATGTGGTGGTCAAGTATTTATTAACATATAGTCCATATGTATATGTGTATGTATGTATGTATGTATGTATATGTGTGTATATATGTATTTGTATGTATATATATTCCATCTTTCCCTTTGAAAAGAAAGCCTCATTCTTTTCTATTTCCCTTTGGAGTTTATCCCAACACTGATTAGAGGCCTTTGGTCTCCGCCTCCTTCACACCTGCAGAGGGTATAGCGAGTTTCCGCCACACCCCCATCACCACCTTTCTCCAGTGACGCCTCTAAATACTTTGTACATTTTTTTGTCTCCTTTTAGGCAGTGAATTCTGGGGAACTCCGTGCATTTGACTGGGGAAGTGAGACCAAAAATCTGGAGAAAGGCAATCAGGTTAGAAAATCAAATACCATCTGCTGAAAATATATTCTTTGGAAACATGTGAGAGGGGAGTGATAGCAACAGTTTATTCTAGAGAAGGGAATAAAACATGAGAATTCAAACTGAGAATAATATTCAGGGTTGAATTTGAAAATGATTAAGTTCATAGCTTAGCCAGGAAACCACTCTACTCCTACGATGGAGTAAGAGGCCTTTCTGGCTGAGATTGCCTTCCTGAGCCAGGCACTGGGCTTCTCAGGAGCAAGGAGGGGTAGATTTAATCCAGAGAAGCGTGCACTCTGTGGGATTTCTGAAAGGATTATTTTAGAGTCATAAAAACAAAACAAAACAATGGAGATGGTGGGTGTAAGGTTGTTCCAAGGCACCCTACAAAGAGCATTAAGGGGCAAGCGGAGATTGCTGTGTTAATTTTGCCTCTGCACTAAAACCTATGTGGTAGAGGTTAGGCTGCTTTAATGCTTCATGTCTCAATTTCTTTATCTTTAAAATAAACATTATTGGATTAGAAAATTCTTAAGAGTTCTCCCTGGTCACACTTTTAGTGACTCTATGATTTGCAAGTTCAAAGTGTGAAAAAAGGATGTTACTACTTTACACAAGAAAATAACTAGCTAAGGCTATGGAATGACATTAAAGGTGAAAATGCAGAGAATTCAAAGTGGATAGGGATACCTTTTGAGCATAAAGTCTTCACTGAAGATTATTAGTTAGCACTGCAAATATTGATATTTATCATACAAAGCTAGAGGGAGCAGATTAGATAGAGCCTAATCTTCCTTTCTGAGGCTCATGACATAGTTTAGATCCACTGCCATCATCAATCCAGATATAAAACGCTAAGAAAATGGACAGAGTGTGTCGCAGCCCTGGAGAGCAAATTCTCCATCACTGCTATTGGCCACTTCTTTTTTAGATCTTTCTGTTTCCTAAAATATGTCTTTAGAGAACGTATTCCAGTTCAGATAGGTTTTCTTTTTTGTTCATTTGTTTCAAACAGAGTTTTAGTTTGCCTCCCTCACTAGAGTGCTGTGGCATCACAGCTCACAGCAATCTCAAACTCTTGGGCTTAAGCAATTTGCTTTCTTCAGCCTCCCAAGTAGCTGGGACTACAGGCGCCAGCCACAATGCCCAGCTCTTTTTAGAGACAAAGTCTCCCTGTTGCTCAGGCTGGTCTTGAACCTTTGTGCTCAGGCAATCCACCCACCTTGGCCTCCCAGAGTGCTAGGATTATAGTACTTGTCCTTTTAGAAACTAATTTTGTGAACATTTCACGAAGCAAGAATTAGAGATATTCTTTTTTTTTTTTTTTTTTTGAGACAGAGTCTCACTATGTCACCCTGGATAGAGTGCCCTGGCGTCACAGCTCAAACAACCTCAAACATTTGGGCTTAAGTGATTCTCTTGCCTCAGCCCCTAAGATAATTTTAATTGTTCAGCATTTACTAACTGAGTTCTAGAGGAAGTCATATGTGCAGAATTTGCTCCAGAAAAATGGTAATGGAAGGGAAGAGAAAACAAAAATACACAAGGGGTCATAAACTCACAGATGCTCTGAGCTACACATGACATTTAATTCAATCTTTTCGCCTTTAAGATGAGAAAAAAAAATACTACTGACCTCATAGACTATTCCAACCTTTCTTATCTAAATTAGGCCATAACTCCAAATTATTAGGAAATTACAAAGAGAAACCAGAGTCTTTAGGATTAGAGCAAACTGACTAAGAAGTGGGCCTTCCTATTTCTATGAAAAATTCTGGATGCTGATTACTTTCAGGGGCTCAGCCAGCCCAGCTAATCTGCTGGTACTGCTTGAGTAATTCCCAGGAATTAGGAATACTACATACCATTTTGGAGGGGATTTTTAGGGCAGGGGATGGGGCATGGAGCAGGTATTTAACTTTTACCTCCCCTTGGTTCAAATGACCTGAGTGCCGTAGGCTTATTTGTTAATATCCCTATGTTATGGAGACACAGCCAGGCTGGGCCTGACTCAGGAGGGGCCTCTGAACACATAGCCTTTGTGTGACAATCTGGGGGGCTTTCCAGTAGGTCCCTTTGCCTTTTCTTAGAATATCTCTAATTCGGGTGCCCGTAACTCAATGAGTAGGACGCCGGCCACTTACACCAATGCTGGCTGGTTCCAGCCTGGCCTGGGCCTGCTAAACAACAATGACAACTACAACCAAAAAATACCTGGCATTGTGGTGGGCACCTGTAGTCCCAACTACCTGGGAGGCTGAGGCAAGAGAATCGCTTAAGCCCAAAAGTTTGAGGTTGTTGTGAGCTGTGACGCCATGGCATTCTACCCAGGCGACATAGTGAGACTCTGTTTCAGAAAAAAATAATATCTCTAATTCTTGCTTCATGAAATGTGCACAAAATTAGTTTTTAAAAGGACAGGTACTTTTTTTTTTTTTTTTATTGAGACAGAGTCTCACTAGGTTGCCCTCCGTAGAGTGCCGTGGAGCAACCTCCAACTCCTGGGCTTAAGTGATTCTCTTGCCTCAGCCTTCCAAGCAGCTGGGCCCACCGGTGCCCACCACAATACCTGGCTATTTTTTGATTGTAGTTGTCATTGTTGTTTGGCAGGCCCGGGCTGGGTTCAAACCACCAGCTCTGGTCTATGTGCCTGGCGCCCTAACCGCTGAGCTACAGGCGCCCAGCCCAGGTACGTTATTTTTAAAGGCAGTCAACTTGTTTACAAAATATTTAATAGGAAGAAAAAAAGTAGAAGGCATTATTTGTTTAAATGTGTTTTTTCTCATTTGACCTAAGTAAGTTATTGCAAATATTGTTCCCATTCATAGATGAAGAAACAGAGGTTTAAGGACATTAAGTAGTTTTACTTTAATGCCGGGGGTGGGGGGGGGGTGGAACAGAGACTCTTAACGTATGGCTCCAATGCCCAGGCACCCTTCACTACAGCCCATGGCAGATTTATATTAGGTTTCTTGGAAATGTAACTTCAGTTTGTAGGGCCAAATGTTACCTAGAGTTAAAAATGATTCTTTTCCTCTAGCCAACTCCTATAAGGTACAAAGTTAGAGATATGACAGTCCCTACAGCGATGTGGACGGGAGGACAGGACTGGCTTTCAAGTCCAGAAGACGTCAAAACACTGCTCTCTGAAATGACCAACCTCATCTACCATAAGAACCTTCCTGAATGGGCCCACGTGGATTTCATCTGGGGCTTGGATGCTCCTCACCGCGTGTACAATGAAATCATACATCTGATGAAGCAGGAGGAGCACAGCCTTTCCCGGGGAGTGTGCGAGGTCCTATTGTGAAACATCTGATACTGACAAGCCTTGGGAACACTGCCGTGCATGATGGGGCTAGGACCTGGGAAGGATTTTAAGAAGGATTTTCAGAACTAGAAGCCTACCATCTTGGCAGAAGGGAGGGCAGAGCATTCTCTCAGATTTAGTGCATTTGGCACTAAAACTGACATTTACCTTATTTTCAGTTAATTAAACTCCTCATTGGGTGAACATAGGTTTCCTATGCTGCCATATATCCCAGTAGTCCCCAGACATTTTGGCACCAGGAACCAGCTTCATGGACGATAGCCTTTCCATGGGAGGGAGGATGCTTTCAGGATGATTCAGGCACATTATACCTCCACCTCACATCTTCAGGGATTGTATTCTCTGAAGAATACAACAAAACACAGCCTAGATCCCTGGCATGTGCAGCTGACAAGAGAGTTCACAGTCCTGTGAGACTATAATGCCCTCGCTGCCTATCTGACAGGAAGTGGAGTTCAGGTGGTGATACTGGGGACAGGCACAGCTGTAAATACAGAGGAAGTTTCTTCGCTGGCTCTCCCGCCATTCACCACCTGGTGTGTGGCCCAGTTCCTAAACAGACCACAGGCCCATACTGGTGCACAGCCCAGGGGTTGTGGACGACAGATAAGTTCTACCATCTTTAATAGTTAATTTTACCTAACAGCCAGAATGGATCTAGGCAGTCCCTACGTTATTCAGGCAAACCTCTTTAAAACCTCTTTAAAACTAAGCTGTATTTTTGGAGCAGTAAAGTAAAAGGACACATTGGGACAGATGCTGAGGTCTTGAATCTCTGGATTGTTGTTGACTTTGACAAAATAAGCTAGGCTTTTTTTCACCTCGTTGCCATGGAGACATGGCAGGAAGCCAAGTCTACCTCAGGAAACCAAGCTGCTTAATATACACAAACAAACAAAAAATCAATGTTACAATATATAAAATATGGTAAGCATCCTCCAAATTAGGTCGAGTTTGGCAGTTGGATCTCAGAGAAGAAAATTTTGTAGGATATTTATGTGTTTTCCAATAAATTCATTATGTATTCCATAAAGCATGTCAGGAGAGTCTCTTGTTTAAGAGTTTACAGCCTGTTGCTAGGATACCTAATGGCTAGAAGTTCCTGGCCACCAAAGTTTTCTGCTTCCAAAAGTCAAAACCTAGGAAGAAAATTTTATAATGTCATGAACATAACAAAACCAATTGTCACGCATTCTATTCTTTACTCTTGACAAAGAATCTTGAGACTGTTGCACCAAATCATTCACAAACCTAAATTTATTTCTTTAAAAAATTGTTCAATTTATATACAGTTTCACAGATGACAGTTATAAATTGTATAAGGGCTATTTTGCTAAATCGTAAACCAAATTGAAGGTATACAGTGTGTCAGAGGCATGCAGTGGACGGTATGCTGGTGTGTCAAACGCACTTGTGTTTTCTGCCCCCCAGTGTCACCAAGTAACTCCACTTCGGTGCTAATGAATCTCAAATAATTTATTCAGAGACATTTCAAGTCTTCATAATCTATCTCTACACACTGTTTTCCTCACAAAACATGTGCTCTTAAGGCCTTTTCATAGTTCAATCAATATTGCTGATTTTGATTTAATTTTTTAATTTTTTTATTATAGTTTTGATTTTTATTAGACCTTTTTCTGTTCAAAGACAGTAAAGCTTTCATTTTTAGAGTGCATATGTAACCACATATAGCGTAGCCTGGCCTGTGCCTATAGCTATGGGTGATTCGGCCTTGATCTGCAAAATTCAATCATGTTTTTAAAGTGTATTCTTACTCTGTCTCATTCTAAAAGAAAGACGGACAGATATTTGTATATTCATAATCTCTTAGAGACACAATCCCAGTACTACCTTATTATACAACTCTATTACTTGTGAAGAAGTCCTTTATCCAAACAGGGTACAATTGTATTTTAAATTTCATCAATAGAAATAAACAAAACAAACTAGCCAGCCACCTGTATTGAAAAGAAGGTCATGAAGATGATTTCAAAAGATCCATGTACATAGTCATGTTCAAAACATGATGGCTTTTATTTGTAAATTGATACCAACACGTCTAGTGGTATGCTGGTAAAAGTTCTATATTGTCAATCTGCCAATTTCGGTGATTAACACACCCACCACTAACACATGATTGATGTTTTTATTGCAGTTGTTTCATCCAAGGAATGTGGGCACATGACTCTAAACCCACACACATCTACACACCATTCTATACAAGTGTACATACTTTGAGTCTTCCTCTCCGTACTCAAAGGGGGCTGAGAGAGACAGTTTGGCTTCCAGAGACCAAATACTCTCTTTATAAGAGGGATACAACTAGGAAGAGAGAACACGATCTCAGAAGATAACCCTAATCTTCTTCTTCAGGAGAAACTGAGCTTCTTGTTGTCGTTGTTTGAGATACGGTCTTGCTATGTTCCCCAGATTGGTCTTGAATTCCAGGTCTGAGGTGACCCTCCCACTGCCGCCTGCCAGGTAGCTGGGACTGTAGTGAGCCACTGCACCAGGCTGAAATAGCAGTTTTTGACTGACATGAAGTCTCCAACAACTTTAGTGTTTCCCTTAGAAGTATTGTCACCATGGTGAACTCAATTAAGCAAAAAGTACTGTAAATAAAAGGCTCCCTGGAAAACGTTGCCCCTGGCAATCATCATTATCTTCATAAAATAATGGCATCCAGATTGAGTGGCCCACAGACCAACAGTTCAAGATGGAGATAGAATCCAGTCCTCTAACTCCAGGTCTCCATTTGTGAAGTCACAAGGATTATGAAGCTTTCCTTAGCATTAATTCAATCTGGGAAAATTTTAACTTCCGTGTAATATCCAGTGAACTCTCACCATACTAAAGAAAGAAAAGCACAGTTATTTCCTACAGAGTCAAACATCAACGCAAAGGATCTAGTAAACAACTTAGATTAACTGACTCCCTGGCTTGGCAAGGGCTTCAAATGTCATTCAGTTCTAATAGTAATAGGATAACTATAACTCTATTCTTAATGAGGATGATTAATTTTACTGTTATTTACATCAGAAGCAAATAATCTACTTCAACATGAGGCCTGGATTAGAAGATGCAGGTAGCAGGACCTCAGACTGTGGTCCACAGATCCTTACCTTATTCTTAATCAAGGGGTCTGCATGGGCTTCCAGGAGCAGAGGGATAAGAGTCTGGTTCTTCATCTCGCAGGCATAGTGTAAGGCAGTGCAGCCATACTGAAACACAGAGGGCCAAGGTGGCAGCTCGTCAACTGGGGCTTCTATAGCTAGTCCTTTCAACACTCAGTGGTGTACAACTGAGCAAAACAAGCAGCCTGCTGACTACACACACACACGCATACAGACACACACACAGACACACACACATAATTGTCCTATAAGCCGTCAATATCTGCCTTTTTCAATTTCTGTTCTAAACTAAAGAATGCAACTTAGGCCAGGCACAGTGGCTCATGCCTGTGATCTTAGCACTTTGGGAGGCAAAGGTGGGAGGATTGCCTGAGGCTAAGAGTTCAAGACCAGCCTGAACAAGAGCAAAACCTCATCTCTACAAAAAAAAAAAAAAGAAAAAGGAAAAAATTGCCAGACATGGTAGTATCACTTATAATCCCAGTTTCTCAGGAGGTTGGGGCAGAAAGATAGGTTAAGCTCAGGAATTTGAGATTGCAGTGAGCTACAATCATACCACTGCACTGTAGCCCTGGTGACAGAACAAGACTTTAACAAAAAAAAAAAAAAAAAAATTTCCACCTTATAAAAAGTTGATGCTGAATTGTGCCGAAGTTCCTTGGTAGAAAGTTTCCTGGTAGATAGGTTATCATCACCTAGATCATGGTGCGATCTTTGCCCTTCACAAGTCCCAATATGAATCTTTTTACAAATACCCTCTATGAGTTTGATCTAAATCCCTACACTTCAAAGAAGACAGGTGTTCATATTGCTACAGCACACCTACAAGATCAACACAGTTTTATTAATAGGTCTCCCAAATGTTATTTGTCGTAATTTATATCCTATGTTATAGAATAGTGGTTCTACTCTGTTGGCCCTAATTTAAACCACCAACTACAAGTCCAAAACAATGTATACTTGGGGCATTGGTGTCTAGAATTTTGCTTTTAAAAGACCAACCAAGCAACCATGTTTTGAGTATTAAAAAAAATAATATCTTTAACTGCATTCCTCAATGAGGACAATTACTTGATTGTCTTGATAGTCTTTAGAGTAAAGATGATTAACACAATTAGCTCTCAATCATATTCCCTGGAAACTCCTCAAAAGTTACAGGTGATAATGCTGAGATTAGTTATTTTTATTCATCATGATGAATGGAAGATCTGGCTCTGAATTTTCCTGTGTGAAATAGAATCTACTCACCTAAAAATAAAAAACAGTGAATTAAGTATAAAATGGATGTTAACATGTAGGCAGTTGGGTGGAATGTGTGTGTGTGTGTGCAAGCACATGTCTGTCTACAGGAATATAACATCTCTATCTAGAGACACAGATAGATGTCAATAGCTAGAAAATATCCCAGAGAAATTTTCATCCCAGGCACAAATTTTAAACCTATTGAATTTAAATTAAAATACAACGGAAAAACCTCCAATACGTTCAACTTCATTTTTATTAAACTCTTACTGTATTTCAAAAGTATCTAAGGAAATGAAGACACACCATAGTTGTCTATCCAAATTTCTCCAAAAATTCCATTTGAAATAAAAGGAAAGCCTACATTTCATAAATGTATATGCTTGTATTGTCTCTCTCTCTTTCTCTCTCTCTCTCACACACATACCCCACACTGAAAATTTCCTCCATTTAAACCTGATGCAAACATAACCAAATATATCCAAAGTGACACGAATAATGAACAGAAACAGGACTTGGGCATCCTTGCTGTTGCAGAACAATGCTGGTACACATACATCGATGTGCACACACCTAAAATAGGCATCGCAAATAGAATGTTCAATTTGGGAATCAAATTTCCACTTGCCAACTTTTTAAATATAGAACTGGGAATGCACAACTTGATTCAATTAACATGAGCAAATAAAAAATTGTACAAATAAACTTCCGTCTCATTATGATCATTTAAAAAAGGAAGATGAGTGCAAAGGAGTAAAGGGCAAAAACAAAACCGTACACTTAGGAAGAAGAGAGCACCTGCGCTGGCTATTGTCCCTGCTCTTTCCACTGTCATTTGACTTTTCTTTGACCTTTGTCTTTATCTTTCATTTGCAGATAGGGCCCTCCTTGGCAGCAGGCTGGGAACTTGCCTGTAGCAGTAGCTGTTTACATTCAGTGAGCACTTCCTATGGGACAAGCGTCTGCTAAGTACTTTACATGAACCAGCCTAATAAGTAGGATGCATATCCCCATTTTACAGATGAGGAAACTGAGTCAAATGCATTTATAACTTGCTCAATTTCACGTACACAACAGAAAGTGATGAGTTCAAATTTACACATGGGCATGCTGACTCCAGCTTCTTAACTTTGAGGATGGTACTTTGTAACCAAATCCTCCGTTTTCCTTAACTTCTCACCAATGTCAAAGCAAATTCTTTTTAAAATGTCCCTATAGTCAATAAAGATGTTATCCCTATGAGTTGAGCAAAATATAAATAACCTCAAGGTTACCTGACCGTGGAAAATAAAAAAGAAGTAGAAAATTAAATGTAAAAGTGTCTGGGGGGCGGGGAGGAAGCAAGCAACTTTATAGATGACAAGTACACCACCTACAAATTCCATTGTAAATATTTTTCCAACGTGGCTAAAAATACAAACTTACACAGTCTGTAGCATTAACTTCGACACCAGCATCCAGTAGCATTCGCACAAGAGCCTCATTCTGCTTTGTCTTTGATACCTATCACAAATGGCAATTGCAAGAAAATTTAATTTCAAAACATTTTCTCCAACTTATGACTGAGACATAAACAATAGGCTTCATTTTAATCCCAACACTCCCATGCATCTGTGCACCTTTCTTAAAATTTTCCCCAATATTTATAAATTGAAGCCAGGTGCCCAGAGTGGCCATAGACGGCTGCATCAACACCTAGGAACATACTGGAAATGCACATTCTCAGACCTCACCCTAGACTGCTAAGTCCTACTGAGGACGGGGTCCAGGACCTGTCTTTCTTTCTCTTCCTGGCTCAAAGCTCTGCAATAACTTTCCATTGCTCTGAGGGCAAGAGTAAGGTCTTTGGCCTGGCTGCAAAGCCCCACATGGTGCAGATCCTAGCTCCTCTCTCACTCCACACCTCCTGGCTCTCCCTGCTATAACTGCACCCGCCTGTGTTAGCCTCTCTGTCCCTCCAGCTCCTTCTTGCCAGAGGATCACTGCACAGGAAGTTACTTCTGCGTAGAAGCCGCCTCCCTTCCTTCCTTACCCGGTAAATTCATCTTTTATATCTCAGCTAAGAGGCTTTCCCTGTCCTACCTGACCAGGTGAAATCTCCCTCTCTAGGCTGCTGTGTGACAGTTTTACATGTGTTCATGTCATCTCATTAATGAGTCTCTCCCTTTCATCCTCTAACCCTAATGAGGACAAGGACTGTGCCTGTTTTATTTGTTGTGCTCCTAACACCTAGTACACCACATAGTAGATCCATAATCAATTTAGTAGAACCTCTGTAGGGTGACCATCCGAGGGACTCTAACAAACTGATTGACAAACGGAGGTGGTCAACACCAGGAACTAGAGCTACTGTACCCATATGTACATGTGGTGCATTTCCAGTCTGTGAAAATTAGGGCAACTTAAGGAGGTGGTCCATGGAGGGAGGTGGTCAACTATGGAGGTTCTACTGTATATGTCGAAGGATTGAACAGAGGAATGAAATGAACTTGGTCTCCTCAGAAATCCCCTTTCCTTTTTAGTCCCGGGAGATGGGACTCCATGGCAGTTGGAGCCCTCCTCCCACCAATATCCCGTCACCTGAGGAAACAAAGCTCATCTGCTCAGGTGAGCACAGCCTGAGTTGAGGCCATCATCACATGAGAAGCTCCCCCCAGTTTCCTTTCCTTGTGCTTCTCTCCTTTCTCAACTTCTAAACCACCTTTTGCTTCTTCCTCTTCTCTGAACAAACTCAGTCCCTCCTGGTCCCTTCCTCTGTCATCTCCTCTCATGTCGCTAATTTTCTATGCTTCACAAATTTACAATTTCAGGCCTCATTAACAAATAGCTTAGATGTGCACTTAGAGCCAAGCTGTTCATTACAAATACATTTTTGACCCGGCCCCTGGCCTCCAAACATTGGACCATCTTAGAAAGCAGAGTTTTGTGTCCTAAAATTCTTAACGAACTTTGCAAATATAGCTGTGATATTTTTTCTTCAGAATCTCTTAAAAAGTGTGAAAATGAATGACCTATTTTCCCTGCCCCAAACTACAAATATTCAAAGGCTATGTGCTAAATACAGGATGAAATTTTTCAAGAACTCTTCAAGGATACAAGCAGATTATGTATTTATCAGTGAATTAAATTTCTCTCTCTCTCTTTCTCCCATACATCCAAACATTATCATATTTAGTTATAGTTCTGTAATATTTTAAATACCCAAAGAGATAGCATTTCCAACTAGTAGATGGTTCTGGAGCTTATGTTAACAGGAATAACTAACACCCATGGCCATTTAGCTATGGAGGAAAGCTTAGTCATAGAACTAGAGTTTAAATTGGGCCTCTTGTGAGTCATGTGCCAGAGATGGAACTAGCCTTGAGGGAAACCTGGTGAAAACAAGGGAATGAGTCAACTCGGACTTGTCAACCTATTTGAAAGAAACAAAACAAAACAAAAAAATCAAAAACCCTTTAAGTTTACCTACTAATATGACGGCATTCCTTATACCAACCATATCTTTTTTTATTCAATGTAGTTACTGCCTGACAAAGAGTCATTCAAGCTTGAGTAATTCCATCAAGGTGACAGATGAGCTTCAAATTCTCCATAAATATCTTCTACATTGTTAGTTTCTAGATGCAAACTCTTGGGAATCTATTTTTTAACACACTCTATGGGAGGGCTTCAAAGTCAAAAACTCAGAAAAATGTGCACAAACACAAAAACTCCTTTTTTAACACAAAGTGAAAAAAATAGTTCAAAGGGGGATTTTTGTAACACCCAGGATTTTTCTACTTCCTTCAGAGTAAAATTATTTTTCCAAATAAACTTTGCACAGATTATGTTACCATTGCTTAACTACTTTCAACACCTTTCTTGGTTTCACATCAATGAGAGCAGTACATGGATGATGAAAACATCATTTATACAATACAAACCAAAGACTTGATATTATTTCCTTGCCACATCCCCCTGGCCTAGCGAAACTGGACAAGTCACACCATTGATCTCCACATTTGCCCTTTGCTCTAACCAGCATTTACTCACCATGAGGAAATACCCAATAAGCAGGACAGGCATTAAGAGGATGATGAGGAGATAGTCCATGAAGGTAAATTTTTTCCTCACAGCATAATGCAAGCAGGTTCTCCCTTTCTAAAAGTTAAAAAAAGGGACTCTTTACTAATAAAGAATTTCATTTTAAATTTTCAGATCATCATCTCAAAACGTTTAGTTCATGCCTTTGATTTTGTGGTACCCATGGCACCCCTTTCTGTGTGGTAGGTCTGATCAGTAAACAAGCTTCTCTTGACCAGAATATTGAACAGTCTAAAGGAAAAGAGGGGGGAGGGTCCCTGGAAGACAACAAAAGCAAACCATACATTGTCCAAATCTTTAGAAAACACATACTCACACTCATTTCAGCTTGGGGGAGAAAAAACACACTGAGATATAAACACAGGATTGAGTGTAGTGTGAGAAGCAATCGTTATTACTTAGTCATTGATGGTGTATGATTATCCATTTTATGGTTTGTTCATAGGAAATCTTAACCACATGGCAATGTATCCATATTCCCTTATGCACATAGGATAGAAGAATATAAGTAGCTCAATTTTATTCTTCGAGTATGAGAATACTCACCTGGTAGTAGACATAAGATTTTAGGGGTTGTAGGAGTTCTCTCAGGGCCTCATAATGAAAGGTGGACAGAAATGTGTACAAGTAAGAATAATTAGAATACCAACCACATCAGTGAGAGGAGAGGGAGAGCAAGAGAGAGAACAGATACCAACACAGCTTGGTCTCCTCTCAGGGGTGACACTGTTCCTAAGCGAGGACACTTTTTTTTTTTATACTAAGGTAAACTTTTTAGAAACCAAATGATAATACAATGATAGAATTTTAAATTCCCCCTATCGAATGGCCTAGAATTAACTGTTGCCATTTTGCTGTATTTTCTTTGAGACTTTTTAAGTGTATATATACGGAACTTTAAAACGTAGGATAATAGTGTATGCAAAATCTTACTTGCTTTTTTTCAGTCTATAAATGCACATTTAGAATATGCACTTTTTCCAGGCCACTCAGTATTTTTAAACATACAGTTACAATGGATGCGTGACTTTCCGTTGAATGGAGTAGCTCAAATTTATTTAGCCAAACCCTTCCTATCGGACATTACAAGTTTTTAACTTTTCATTTTTATAAATCATATGCTTGAACATCTTCATTCATAAAGCTTTCTCAACATTTCTAAATTTGTTCTTTACCTATGTTTCTAAAAATAGAATTCCTGGCATGAATGTTTTGAATGCCCTTCATACTGCACTGCCAGATTGTGCTCCAGTAAGATGATAATCATTTAAACTTCCTACCTGACCAATGCTTGATTTTCTTTTTCAATTGTGGTCAATTTCACAGACTCCTCCCCAAAAAAGGTTTATGTTTTCATTTAATTGGCTTTTCATAGAATGTTCTCTATGCACTCTATGAAAAGCATGTACCTCTGAACCAGGCTTGTACTTCTGAATTACCAGCAGAGCTTTGTGTTGGTTTTAAGGCCTTTGTTTGGTACTTATGGAAATAATTTATAGATAGAGTTAAGGAATGAGAAATCAGTAGTTCAAGTTATTAATATATAAATATTAGTATCTGGGAAAGATTTTTAAATTAAGTATTAAAACGACATTAGAAATATTAAAAAGAAAAACGAAGCATTAAAAAAGAAGAGAATGCAAATCAAAACCTTCTCTCAGCAAACTCTCTATTAATCTAATGTATGCACTCACGTCTTTTCCTTTTAGTGATTTTTATAGTGCCAGAGGCTCCTACCGGGCTGGCTGAGGCTCTCTGTCTGTGGTGAAGCAGAGATAAGGATGCCTCCTCGGCTCTGCACCTGGGCTTTCCACAGTCTCCTTTCCTCAGCTTCCTAAAGAGCACAGGAAGCCACAGACATCTGCCTTCTGGCAAGATCCCTCACCACAGCTCTGCATAGCTGGTTTCTTAGCTGTGTTCTAAAGAGAGCATATCCTACTAAGCTGCATGTCTGCTAGATACAGCACAAGTAGGACTTGATTTTAAACCCAACCAAGCAAAAAGTAGTAAGCACAAACAAGAAAGTCCAGTGGGGATCACTATTCTGATAAGACATTATTATTCCTCACGAGCTGCTCTTTAAAATCACTTAGTAGGGGCCAGGGAGACCCTACAGGCTGTTTTCTCTTTGAATGAACATGAGCGGGTTCATACTTATTGACCAGAATGACTTTTGACTTTTACTCAGTGTAACTCAAATGCTGCCTTCACTCGGATGCAGATGCTGGAGGCTCAGAAGGGGTTCCACAGGATTGTCATAGCAACAGACACATACTCCTCTCTGCCTCGGGCCTGAAGACTCCAAAACAGCTAGTACTGCATCTTTAAATATATTCTTTATGGCTTTCTGTGTGACTTCAAATAGCCTCTGGTCCGTGAGTTTATTTGTCGTTGGTAAATTTCTCCTTAGCATTCTACAAGCGCACGATAGATCTTCTGGACATGAAGACATTAACATAGTAGATAGAACTATAACTAATGGAGTAGCAGCATGAAGTCAGTATTTCTTTTTCAAAAATTCTTTCGCATTGCTTCTGTAATAGTCAGGAAGAAGATGGGGAGAGAGGGGAAAGAGGAGGAAAAGAAAGAAAGAAGCTCTATCCCTCCACACGGGTGAACAATTCTCTTCCTCTTCAGAAATACAAAGACCTAATTCATCATTAAATATGCCAGCTGATTGAATTATGTTTTGTTTTGATTTTTAGCCTAATAAAATGTCCTCAGTATATGACAGTCTCTCTAAAGAAAAGCTACAATAGATGTTAGTATTAAGAACTACAAGCAATAAGAAAATATTCACCACTTCCAGGGATTAGAGGAGAAAGGAATTACCATGGACAATTATATTCTCCACTTGAGTGTCATGTCCTTACCCGGTTCTTGAGGTTGACATTAGCATTTCTTTTTAAAAGGAAGGAAATGACCTTCATATGGCCACGCCGGCAAGCAGAGATCAGGGGGGTATCTCCGTTAAAGCTGTCCTGCACGTTGACATAGTTGCTGTCCTCCTTCACCCACCGCCACACTTGCCCCAGGTCATTCTGATAGGCCGCCTGGCATATGGGCTAGGGGAAAACAAAAGCAGGTTTTGAATACAGACATGTTAAATCACAAGAAAAAAACATAACAATACCTTAAAATCTCAGTGTTTTCAAAGTGCAATATACTGCTTTGGAGAGTAGATTTTTGGTCTCAGTTATGCCTGTCCTCAATTCTAGAATAAGCCTAAGTCCGATAGGAAACTCGTATGTTTTCCAAAATTGGTTGACACACAGAAATGTTCTTCAAATAGACAAATGAGTAAATGGATGAAATACTACAGATTTGACTCAGTAAGGAAACTGTGTATTGGGCTCACAGATAGGTGAGCCTATCAGAAAAGCAGGACTTTGCTGAAGACAACGTAAGTGTGTGGGGAAGAATTTAGGCAGCACCAGGCGATGGAACAAGACCTACCTGACCCTTATACTCAAAGGTCTGGAGAGAGTGGGAAAGACAGGCATCAGACAAACCATACTCAAATAACAAGTTACCCAACTCACTATCACTGATCAGATGTTGTTCATAAAAAGCATTGTGAAGAGCTTTGCAAAGTACCACGGAAGTTCAATTACAAGACCTGAGAAATGAGGAGCCCAGATGACCCACCGGAGACATTGCTTATGGGTCATCCTGGCTGGAAGGTAGATGATTGGACTGAGGAGAGTAGAGAGCAGTTGCAGCTCAGGTGTGGATCACAGGCAGAGACACCAGAGACGTATGGGGACCCTACCGAGAGAGACTGCAAAGACGAGAAAAAAGATAGGAGAAGTAGTGGCATGGCCCAAAACCAGGGAGGCCCGGAACCAAGTGCAAGGGTAACAGGGGTCCTCCTCCCCCACCTGGGAGCATTCAATGAATAGCAGGACACAAAACAAATGTACCGGAGGTACTTCCCCCCTACAGGAGCCCAGGCATTGTCACCTAAATAGGAATACCAAGGTGAACCAGTGAACCCCGGGAGTTCAGGTGTTCAAAAGGGACACCCAGGGAGAGGGCGGCAGGAGACCAGAGGGCTCTCCTACACTTAAGACACTCTCCTCTGTACCCCTCCGCACCCCCTCCTTCCTCTACATCAGAGAAAGGCATTTTCACTTGGGCAGGCTGATACTGCAGCCCCACTTCCCCACCGTGGAGAGCAGGGCTGCCACAGTTTGTAAGTTTCCTGTCTGCTGTCCTTTCATGGGTTCCCTGCACTGGTGGCTTAGACAGGCAGGCCAGACCTGATGGCCCATCCCGGATCAAAAAAAAAAACGGTGCACTGAGATGCAGGGCAAGGTCTTGGTCCCAGATAGAGTGATTAGGAAGCCCTTGCAAACATATCCAATGGGAGAGTGTGCAGGGGCGCTGAGGAATGGGGATCTATGCGCAAGTCTACGGCAACCTCTGCGCAAGAACCGCCAAAGTGGACAGGGCTGTGGCCCTAGGAGCGAGTTAGCCTCGCCCCTGGTTCTTACCGTAACCGAATGCCTTGGGGGGCGGGGGGTGGGGGGGCTGAACTGGAGCAGCAGCTCCTCTCCCGTTACAATAGAAAGTGCAGCTTTAACCGAGAAACTCGAGAGTGTCTGCTTCTTCCCAGAGGAAGCATGTCTGTGGCTGAGACGCCTATGGTTAGTTACAGAGGCCTACATTTCTCTCCTTAATGTCTTGTGGTGGAAACGGGGTGGGGCACAACTGGGGAACCCTACTGGCCAGTCATCCTTAGAGACACCCGTGAGTGGGCCTGGCAGGTGGGCTGAAGAGAAGTTTAGGAGCTGCTCTGGGGCAGTGAGGGAACTGGGCGTGAACTGATCTGATGGGAGAGTGTTGTGGGGTTCCAGGGAGCAGCGAGCAGGGAGGGAGCAGCCAGCAGGGAGGGCACTCTTCCCATTCCGCAAAGAATCTGCCTAGTGGACAAGGGTGGAAAGAGCCTATCCTGGGGCCTTAGAGCTCTGGGCCCCTTCCTCAAGAGCAACCTTCCCAACTTGGAGAAATTGCCCTGAACATCATAACAGACACTCCCCTTACTGGCTGGAAAAACAATCTCTGAGCCCCACAGTGGCTTTAAAAACCTATCTGGTTCTGATATCTGCAGTGATCTATCTTGCCCTCCCTCTCACCTCAGAAGGAGTAGAGGTCAAGCAACCCTTCCCCTCCCCTAGCTACGTGGTCCCTCTGAAAGCTTGGGGGTGTTTGTGTGCACCACCTGGGGGACCGGAGCTTGCCATAGTCACAATCGAAAGACCAGATGAGAAGTAATCAGCAAAAGAACTCTGGAAACATGAAAAATCAGAACAAAAGAATGTTCCCAAGATAGAAGAATACCAACCAAAACAAAAATATCGACAGGACTGATGAAGGATTTCAAAAATAAATCTTAAGAAAGCTCAATGAATATGAGGTGAAAATAGAAACTCAATAGGAAGAAACTATAAAATCAATGCAGGAAATGATTAAAAATTTGCTAAAGAAATCAAATTATTTTTTAAAAATCTAACAGAGCGTGGAAATAAAAAACTAATTCAAGGCAATACAAAACAAGGGAGAGCCTTAAGAATGAGCTAGATTAGGCAGAAGAAAAAACCTCACAGCTTGAAGACACATTTGAGTTAAACAAGTCGGTCAGAGAAAGAAAAAAGAAATAAGAGGAATGAACAAAGCCTACAAAAAATATGGAATTCTATAAAAAGGCCTAATATAAGAATCATAGGCATGATCCTGAGGGCAAAGAAAAAATACCCAAGGGTTGGAAAATCTATTTCAGGGAATAATTAAGGAAATTGTCCCTGATCTTGCTAGAAGTCTAGATATCCATGTACAAGAAGCTCAACAAACTCCTGGGATATTCATCAGAAAGAGGCAATCACCATGACACACAGCCATAGAAACTCCTATGAAAGCACCAGGTAGTTGACAAAGAAAAACCTATCAGACTAACTGCAGACTTCTCAACCGAGGCCTTATCAACTAGACGGAACTGGGGCTCCATTCTCAGTTTTTTCAAACAAAATAATGGCCAGTCTAGAATTTTGTATCCTGCAAAGCTGAGCTTCTTAGAGGAGGAAGAAATAAAGACTTTCACCCAAGCAAATGAGGAGGGAATTTGTCAAGAGCAGATCCTGTCTTTAGACTTTTCTAGGCTCCCTATCCCCAAAACACAGAGTTTCTAGTTTTGAAAAGTAAAATGACTTCCTGGCTCAATTAAGATGTACAAGTACAGTCGTGACGAGTCCCTTAAATGATGAGGATATGATGTGAGAAATACATCGTTTGCAGATTTTGTCATTGTGCAAACATGACAGATTGTACTTACACAGACATGGATGATAGAGGCTACTGCACACTCTGCTGTGTCGTGTAGCCTATTCTTCTAACTACAAGCCTGTACAGCGTATTACCATGCCAACTACTATAGGCAATGGTAGGTAGGGCAAGAATATGGTATGAGAATTTTTAAATGGTCTACCTGTATAGGGCAGCGCTATTATAATCTTATGAGATCATCGTTGCGTATGTGATCTATCATTGATCTGAATTAATGCAAGGGTTGCACTAAACAGCTGAAAAAATTCTATTCTGTTATTGACTCTCAGTTTCCACTAGGGGGCAGCTCAGTGTTAGAAAAGCCTTGACAGAAAGGAAGTCCAATAGACAAGGGCTTGTTGACACGCCTGGTATGAAGAAGGATAGGAGGTTCCATTCAGGTTGAGGGAAGAGCTATCATGAATCCCTCTGGCTCCCTGAAGTTTCTGAAATTTGGACGTACCATGGGCATAGAGGAAACACATGACTCTATTCCCTAATACTCTCAGAACCCTTAGGTTCAACCTTACTGCTAAAGCACTAGGTCAGATCATCATTCTCGCATAACTGGCCTGACATTTCCAGCTCCTCCATCCAAGCCATCCTCCAAATACAGCATCTGCATGTCACTTGCCCACTGAATTGGATTAGGATGCTGTCCTCAAGCTGCCACACATGCTTCTTCAAATCTTGCACATCCTGCCCTCCCAACTTTATCTCCTGCCCCTCCCTTATCCACAGCCTTGATCCAAGTGAATAAAGGTATGTGTGTTATTAACGTCTCCCACCCCCAACTAGACTGTAAGCTACATGAGGGTAGGCATGTGTCTGTACTTGTTCATCATTGTATCCTCAGCACCCACTATAGTACCCAACACATGGGAGGCATCCGATATACAACTGGGGAGTAAATAAGTAAATTATAAGATGAACTTAGTAAGTCAGTTATTCCATTTACTCCTCACAATGACACTATAAGGTGAGTGGTGTTATTATACCCACTTTACCCAGATGAAACTAAGAGAAGTTGTCTTCTTTGCCCAAAGTCACACAGTTCATAACTGGCAAGGCCAAGAGTTAAGTCAAGAAGAGTGACTGCAGAATGCATATATTCAAAATCAGCCTTCAAAACGTCTTCTGGCTACAGACTTTGCATTTGAGACTTGCATCCAGCATTAAGCTACAGTCTATATTTTTAGGATACAGATAGCTCCACTTCTAGCTTTGGTTTGCTGATCCTTGGTTATATAACCAGATTCTTCCCCTAAACTTAACTAGAATTAGCAATATCTTCTGAGAGGTAGGAAATAGTGCTCAGAGAGGCTGCAGGAGAAACCAAGAAAAGATATGACCAAAAGACACAGGAGGGAGAGTTTCAAAAAGACAGAAAGATCACTGGATTTAGTAATTAAGGCCATCTAGATACCAATTTTCATATAACAATGCAGCTGGTGGCAGAATACAGGGCCTGAGTACATTATCAGTGAAGAATTAGAGGCTGTGAGTGGAGAGGAATTGTGCTAAGTTTGGCTGTGAAGGCTGCCAGTCAAAGCTGGCAGCTACAGAAAGGAGTATGGCAAGCAAGGTCCAGCCAAAGTTCTTCATATTTGCAGGTAAAGTGATGTTGCCAAGTGGTTGCGGACACGGACAATTGAAAGCAAATTTGCTATGTTTAAATCTCAGCTCCACCACTTTTCAGCTGTGTTATTTGGATAACTTACCTAAACTCTTTGTGCTGAGTTTC